GAAGCAGATGAGAGAGGAAGGTTGAACTGAAACCACGCTCCATAGCCACTTGTGGAAGAAATCGACTTGACTCTGTATAGGTTTGGATCTGGCCAAGACAGTTTTATTTTAGCAACTAAAGGGGAACAAAATGGTTTATCACACACTGAGAGTCTTGGTACTGTATAGAAATTCCTCTACAAGCTGAGCGGGGAAAAGTGGATCTTTTATAATCTTTTACACTGGATTGGGAAAACAAAGAGACAGCTGAGCATAGTACAGTTTTAGGTCAGGGGGCATAATAGCCAAATTGTGATTGGAATATTTTGGGAACAAATAGCCTATTAAATAAAATATTTATAGAAAGTTTACCTGGTGCTCTTAATTGTTCTGTCTAGTGACAACAAAGATTCCCATGGGAAAGAGAATTTCCCATAGTCCGTCAGAGTTGCCATGAGTTAACAGATAGAGAGCTGCTGGACCTGGGGTTGGGGAGATCTGGATCCAAAACCTGCCATGGATACTAAATAGCTGTAAGATCATGTGCAAATCAACTGACCTCTTTGGTCCTTAGTTCTTCATTTGTAAAATGAGGGGGTGGGACTTATAACCTCTAAGGGCCCTTTCAACTCCACAATCCTCTGGTTCCTGGGTACCCAAACCATTATCTCAGCCTCTGGTCATGGCAGCAGATTGTACCCAGGAGCATTCTTTGAGAATATGTTACCATCCTCCCTCCAGGCCATCCTGATGCCTCCACTCTTTTCTTTTCTTTCTTTTTTTTTTTTGCATTTTTTGTTTGTTTGTTTGTTCTTGCTAGGCAATGGGGTTAAGTGACTTGCCCAGTGTCACACAGCTAGTAAATGTCTTCCACCCTTTTCTTAAAGGCTACTAGAAGCCCTGAGTTGGATCTGAAGGTACTAAGATTGTCCACTTCTCTGGACCTTGAATCAGGAAGTCCTGAGTTCAAATCCAGTCTCAGACACTTACTAGCTGTGTGACTTTGGGTAAATCACTAACCTCTGTCTGCCTCAGTTTCTTCTTTTGTAAAATTGGGATAATAATAGTGAAGATCGAATGAGATAATTTTTTAAAGCACTTAGCACAGAGCCTGGCACATAGTAGACACTAATATATGCTTTTCCTTTCTTTCCTGCCCCTTCCCTCTCTCTCTCTCTCTTCCTTCCTTCCCTCCCTCTTTCCCTCCCTTGTTCTTCCCTCCTTCCCTCCCTCCCTTCCTTCTTCCCTCCCTCCCTAGTTATTCTTTCCTCTAGGAGGAGGGAGGGGAAGGTGAGAACAGTACTGAGGAGCCTAAACCAGACACTACCTAGCTTAGGGTAGGCTGCAAAGATCACTAACTAGTTCTATGAGCTTCCTGTGGCAAGAGAAAACATTTGTCACTAATTCATCCCTTAATGTCACTAGACCTCATTTTCCCCATCTGTAAAATGGAGGAGTGTGGATTAGATCACTCCCCTAAGGTTCATCTCAACTTTAGCAGTCCATGTTCCCTGGCTTCGGGGTAGACTCAGACCACTCACCTCCAGTCCACCTGGCTCTCTGCACTGGGCCCCTCATCCACCCTCCACAACATCCCTCCATTGTGGAGGATGTGCTACCTATCCCTCCATTGTGATTTGCCCCTTTTTTGGAACAGACAAGAAGAGCTTACAAAAAAAGAGAGAGGAAGAAACTAAGACTTTTTTCTCCTTCCTTTCCAGGGGGAGTGAGTGGGAGTGAATGCGTCAGTGCTCGGGGGAAAAAAAAGAACCCCTGCTCTGGACTTGTTTCTGCAGGTTTGTTATATAATGCAGTTGAGTCTCTTGCTCTGCCATAGAATAGGAAAAGCAACCATTTCAGGGAACTGCCAGACTCTCACTTGCATAAGCAAGATATGACAGGCCCAGGGCCAAGAGTGGAAGACACCCCCACTCCCAACCCCCTCCTCCACACCTGATCATCTGTCTCCTTGCTAGTCCTCTGGGGTTTCAGGACTCTCTCAGAGGCCTCTCCAACTCTATGGGGCTTTCTTAGCTGCCCCAGAAAAAAAGAGGCACAGAGCAAATGCCACAAACACCTTAAGCACCATCTAGCATGGGTGAAAAAGTGCTAGGATTTGGAGTCAGGGTACCTGGATTCAAACCTGGTTTGATTGTGACTTTGGGTAATTAACCCCTCTGGTCTTTAATTTCCTGTATAATTGGGAGTGGGTTGGGGGTCGGGGCTGTTAGATTACCTCTGTAGTCCTTTGCAGCACCTCATCTATGGTCCTCATTTTACAGAGGAGGAAAACTGAGGTCCAGGGGTGTCAAATGACTCACTCCAAGGTCACTGACTTTGTTAGCAGCAGAGTTCATTAATCCTGACTCCCACTCACTTGCCTTTACATCACATGAAAACATCACCTCTCCCTGGTATCCTCTGTCTAAGTTATCAAGCTGGGTTATGGGACCTAGGTTGGAGTATAAAGAATTGGCTTCATCCTGGGGATTTCTGAGGTCAACGGAGAACACCCCGAGGATGAGAGTCTCAATGCAGCCTACCAATCCCAGCTGATGCTTGGAGGAAAGGCTGGGGTCATCCCCATCTTTATCAGGGGACTAGAAAGAGCCTCTAGGCACTTAGACCCTCTTCAGAAAATGGCTGAAAGGGCAGGTTCCCTACTTTGAAACCTAGGAGGAAGAGCATATACCTTTTGCCATGTAAGGTTGACACCCTCTTGCCCTAGTCTGCAACAATAATAAAAATCCCTCTCATTTGATAGTTTTGCAGTTTTTCATAGCACCTCCACCTCAATTTGTTGAAATAGGCTTAGATAATTTATTCCCATTTTAGAGATAAGGAAGCTGAGGGCCAGAGAGCCAATGATTTGCCCCAGGTTGAATAAGGAGTAAATGGCAGAGCCATGCTTTCCAATCCTGCCTCTGAAACTTATTAACTATGTAACACAGGTCAACTGTCTGAGCCTTAGTTTTCTCAGCTGTAAAATAAGGTGGTGTGACTAGATGACCTCCAATATCCTTTCCAGCTTTGAATTTATGAACCTATGATTAGAACCTAGGTCCCGTGATTCGCAGTTCTATCCCCTTTCCACGTTGTATTTTCTCCATGACTCCTAGTCTGGGTTTTCTCAGTTTCTTCCATCTCTACCAACTTCCTCATACACAGACTCCCCTCTACCCCAGCAAGTAAAAAAAAAAAAGCTTCAGGGTGGTCTGAAAGAGTCTGATACCATCCTTTATTCTTTTCTTTTTAAAGTAGGGCCAAAGTAGCACTCATTCTACAAGCAGGAAGGAAAACCAGCTTCTTGACTTTTCTAGGAAATGAATCCTCTTAGTTAAGATTACCAGCAACTCCTTCCCTCCTCAAAAGAATAAAAATTAAAAAGGCAAAACAATAAGCCCAGCCTCAGAGTAGAGGAGATCCATGATTCCCCCTAGCTTTCTAGTCCCTTCCATCTCTGCTCCTTCCTCGTAAGGAAACACCTGAATGTTGTGCTTTTGGAGAAGGCTGTGCTCTATTGGGTATGATGCAGCTTTCACCCTTAAGCCTGGATCCCTCAGGAGGCCAGTCTCCCCTGCCTACTTGGGGGAGACACTGGTTTCAAGGACTAAAGTCTTAGAATTGGGAGGTGACCTTGGTCTCTTGGGAGTCTTTTGTTCACTGCAATCAATATTTTTTAATCATAACTTATAAGATTTAGAGCTGAAAAGGACCTTAAGAGTGGAAAAAACTGAGGCCCAGAGTGGAGAAGTAACTTGCCCAAGGTCACAAAGACAGTAAGTAGCAGAGCTAGTATTTGAATCCAGGTCCTTTGTCTCCAAATACTCTATCTACTATACCAGGACTACAACCTCCTAATTTGAGGAGCTCCATTTGCTGAAGTGATTGCTTAGGAAGGCAAGCCGGTGTGAATAATGAAGGCAATCACGTCCTCAAAGGTCAGAGGCTAGCTTAGGGGGTAGGCCTGCCCCATTTTGGCAGACTCCTGGCCCTGGTTATTTCTTGATGAAAAGGCCTAAAAATGAGATGGCCACTGTATCAAAGACCAGGAGCTGTCTGGTTCCAAAGCACCAAATCCAAACAATTATTCAGAGCCTTGCACAGATTTCAGGAAAGCTTAATTTAAGCAGGAGTGGTTACTTAGTAACCCAATTAACTTCTCTGGACTTGCCAGTGAATTATGCTATTTTACAGGAAATCCTACCCCTCCCCCCCTTCAGGTTAGCCTCGCCAAGGGGTTGCCCCTCCCCCCCTCCTCCCCAAGTTACCTTGGAATGCAGAAAGCATTCCCCTTCTCCCCTGCAGGTGTTAGTCACCTCTTCAGAGGTGCCCCCAGAGTGCTCAGACAACTAGGGTGGACCACCATTCTAATCTAATAAGCACATCATTGCCTTTCATTTGCCCTCCCCCCACCCTTAGTCTCTGCCATTTAGCTTTGAGAGATAGTGTGGTGGGGATGGAAAGCTCCCTGGTTCGAGAATTGGGAGACCGGAGTTATAGTCAGCTCTGCCACTCCCTTCCCCTTTCCTCAAGGCCTCAGTTTCCTCCTCTGTAAAATGAGGGGGTTGGACCAGATGATCTCTGAGGTCTCTGACAGCTCTGCCATTCTGTGAGTGTGACATTTGCCAAGGACTCATCCTAATGAATACTCCAGTCGGTGCAGAGCTAGGCCTCTCTTGGTTGCTACCTAATAGATATTTTAGGAATTAGGGCAGTAGCACATTGCCTTGCTCCCCTATCTACCAGCTTCTCTGTAAAATGCCTCCCGTCCTAAAGCAGGCTATTTCCGAGGACAGTGGAGAGGATGACGGACGCTGAGCTATCCACGCCACCCCGATTCCCACCTTATTATTGTTGGACCAACAAAGTTATTGACATTGTGGGAGAAGCCAGGACCCTGGGTCCGACGAGGATCGGGTCTTCCTCCTAGCCTCTAATGAGAAATAGACCAGCTGGGAAGCGCAGTCTCTAGGGAAACGGACTGGCGGCTCCCCTCTTCTGGGAGCTCCCCCACTCACCTGCCAGCAGAGACACCAGGTGCCCAAGTACGCTCAGGCAGAGCAGCTTCGCGGGGAGCCAGGACCCCATGGTACCAGCACTGCAGGCGCAGAGGCTGGCAGAGAGGCGAGAAGGAGCGAGGTTCCGACGACGTCCGTCTTCTCCCTGTCTCCCGCAGCTACCAAGTGCCGCCCCCGGGCCTCTGGCGCAGCGACTCGCGCAAATTCCGGGCTCCCCAGCTACCTCTGACTTTTGGAATCGCTGTCACTGGATTCTCTCTCCCCCTCTTCCTCTCCCTCTCTCTCTCTCTCTCTCTCTCCCTTCTCACCCCTCAGCTTGGTGGGAGGAGAAAGGAAGGGAAAATAGAGCGCCCCTCTTGCCACAGATTTATCAGGATGTTGCCAAGTAACACTCGGGGAAGAGAGCTTTCAGCTCAGCTCCCGCAGCACCAGCGAGAGGGAGCCGAAGGTGACACCGGGGATCATTCCCAGCCCACTGCTTTCCCCTCCTGCTCACCCCTCCCACCCCATTGGCTCTTTAAATAAACATTCCCTGCACTTGAGGGAGAGAATTCTTACCACGTGCTCCTTCCTTTATCATTAACAGAATTTCTTTCCTTTTCCTTTTCCTTGGCTCTTCCTAGCTATTCCATTCATTGCTATTGGGTAAGAATCTCAGGTGGACTTCATCCCAGTGGTTTCGGATTCGATTTATAGAACAAAGAGACTCAAAGCTGAAAGGGATCTTAGAGCTTAGAATGTCAAAGCCAGAAGGAGCCTTAGACCATGGGAAAAAATGTCAGAGCTGGAAAGGACCTTAGAACACGGGATGGCAGAGCTAGAATTGTAAAATGGTGAAGAGGGAAGGACTTCAAAGTTCACCTAGTCTAGTCTAGCCTTTTTATTTTACTTATGAAGAAACTGAGGCCTGGGGAAAGGAACTAATTTATCCAAGATCATACTTCTAGGCATCCAGCTGACAGTGGATAGGGGCCTGGAGTCAGAAAGACCTGAGTTCAAATATGACCTGAGACACTTAATGACTCTGTGACTGTGAGCAAGCACAGAGTCATTAAGTGTCTCCCTGGCACATAATAGGTACTATACGCATGTTAGCTATTATTATTATAGTTAATAAGAGAGCTCCATCTCTGTTCTTTCCACTATACTGTATTGTGCTGTGTAGAAACACATTTCAGGAAAGGGCCCTCAGGTCTGGGATTAAGAAGGGAAGAAAGGCCTCAAAAAGGAAAGATGGAAGGCGCTAAAGATAGACTTCCCCAACTTTCCAGTTTTGCTGAGGGCTAAAGGTCACCTGCTGCCTCCTTCTCACAGAGGGGCCTCCAAGCCCATTATTGTCTTTGGCCCTCTCTCTACCACTTCCTACCAAGCACATCTCTTCCTTTCCCTCTCTGTTTTCTTTTCTCATACCCTCCCATTCCTTTTCTTTCTCCCCTTCTTTATCACCCCTTTCCTGTTTGGGGCCCAGGCATACTTCTATAACTTCCCCTTTGCCCCCTATCCAATCAACAGAGACATTCCTGCTGCACAGGTCTCTAACTAGGCTAATGAAGTCACCCACCTCTGCACTGAGCTAGACTTCACCTTGATCATACTCAAACTATCCCTTATGGATTGAGCATAGCTGTGGGAATTTTTTTATTTCCATTTATTCTTCCTGCAACTTTTGGCTAATATTAACCGTACCTGACCAAAGCCTGTCCCATGGGATGAAAAAAATTTACTTACAGCTTTAAACCTTCGTTAGATAAGAAACCAGAAGAAGAATCTCATCTGTTACTGACTCCTTTTGTTGTTCAGTCATTTTTTCAATCATGTCCAACTCTTTGTGACCCCATTTGGGCTTCTCTTGGCAAAGATACTGGAATGGCTCGCCATTTCCTGCTCCAGCTCATTTTACAGATGAGGAAACTAAGGCAAACAGGATTAAGTAACTTGCCCGAGGTTACACAGCTAGTAAGTGTCTAAAGCCAGATTTGAATTCACAAAGATGAGTCTTCCTGACTCTTGGCCCAATGCTCTATCCACTTTACCATCTAGCTGACCTACCCTGACTCCCTGGTGTCCTCTTCCTCAATCAGTCTGTCAAACTTCTACATGTAAATTTAATCTGTAATTTGAATTAGTTTACCTATAGAATTTGTTTGATGAAGTTTCTTTCCTTAGAGGATGTATAAGATTATGACTATTTAACTAAGTTTAACTTTTATGACATTGGAGGAAGTATAGGATTATGGATCTATCTTCTCTTTAACTTTTATGCCTAAGAAGACTGTACAAGATTGCAACATGTGAAAGAATTATTTCTTTGTCACTCTTGAAATAATTTTGCCCTAAAAAGCCTTGTCAGAATACTCATAGTAGTTCAGGTTTTCTCTATGGCCTGAACCTATGTTTGAGCATAATAATAACACCTCAATAATTTCTGCATTGTGGTAAATATATATTTGATAGCAGTTACCCACCATGTGAACTCAGAGATGAGATATTTCTCCCACAATAATGTGTAGTGACCCTTGGCCCACCTACCCTGGAACATCCTTCCTGGCAGTCATAACAGTCCATCTCTTTCATTATGAGGATCCTTCCCCCATTCCTTAAAGTTGCCTGATAAGCATATTAAGACTCAAGCTCCACACCCCTCCTGCCTCCCCACTGACTTCTGAGCTAGGACTCTTTCCTGGAGCTCCTGCCTCAGGCTATGATGAGATTCTAACTAGCAAGGCACCAAGATGAATATGAAGGCAAAGAAGCCAAATCCAGGGGACAGCTAGGTGGTTCAGTGCATAGAGTTCCAACCTTGGAGTCCAGAGGACCCAAGTTCAAATCTGACCTCAGACACTTGACACTTAACTAGCTGTGTGTGACCCTTGGCAAGTCACTTAACCCAGATTGCCTCACTAAGAAGCAAAAAAAAAAAAGAAAGAAGCCTAACCCAACTCAATCCATGTTGTATCCTTGCTGAATGTATTACCTATTGCTAGGTAAACTCTCTTTTGTAACAGTTAGATGGTCTTTGAGTGTCTTATGTCATTCCAATTCCAAACTTGAACTACCAACTTGAACTACCACAACAGGGTAGAATAATCTTTGCCCTGTCTGTTATCTCCCAGGAGTGTTACAAAATCTCCTAAAATGATGAGTGTGAAAGCACTCTGCAAAGTGGAAACCACAGTATGTAAACTATTGTTGTCATAATTAGGCAAAGTACTGGAACTATGGTTGGGAACTGGAAGAAAGGCAGGGGGCAGAAAACTATCCCTGTGGTAGAGCACATTACAGGACCTCAGAGCAGGTGTTCCTCAATAATGTCCATGTGTGCCACACAGCTGGGCTGACCAGCTGCCAGAAGCAGCCTCATTACAGATCTTCTTGAGGCTAGAGCTACCCACAAAGACTGCCAACCTCAACCTTTGATGCAGGGTGCCAAGGGGTTTCCCACCAGCTCAGACAGCAGGATAGAAACTGCAGGACAGAAACCACCATGGGGAAGGAGAATCGTGCTGTACTGGTGACAGCTCTTGCCTTGATTAAGGGACAGTTTGCGGTAGGTGAGAAGGCTGAGGAGGTGAATGTGTATAAGGGGGTTGGGGTGGGATATACTTTGAGACCGGAGAATGACAGAATTTCTCAGCTGAGGACACTATTTAACTTCAAGTAGGTGAGTAACTATTAGCCTCTATCAGGGGTGAGGAATGTGTGGCCTTCTAGGTCCTTGGGTTCGGCCTTTTGACCGAGTCCAAGTTTTACAGAAAATCCTTTTATTAAGGGGATTTGTTCTGTGAAGTTTGGATTCAGTCAAAGGGCTGCACTTGAGGACCTAGAGGACCACAAGTCACCTGGAGGCTGCAGGTTCCCCACCACTGCAGAGGAGCAATCAGCAGGCTATATACTCCTAGTGCGTCTCGAAAATTCTCTAAAACTGTGAATCATGGAGGAGTTGTCTATGTGCATAGGTGGTAAGTTTCCTGGAGCCTGAGAAATCACAGCTCTGAATCCCACTGCTAAAACAACATCACTACTCTGCATGCCTTATAAGGTTGTCTCAAGGATGAAATAAGATACATGAGGATTTAGATGTGGAAGAGACCTTAAGATTATCAAATCCAACTCCTCAGCCATACTGTCATCATTTTACAGACAAGGAAATCAATCAAAAAGCATTTATTAATTGCTGCCATATGTTTGCTAGGCGCAAAAATTAAGGCAGGCTCTGCCTTTGGGAAGCTGACATTCCAGTTAGGAGACAACATATACATAAATATGCATGTGCTTATGTAGCAGGGTTACATGGGACAACCCCTTACTTGTAACAGTGTTAGTAGGACTACCCTTCATTTGTAATAGGGCTGCACAGGTTCCCAACATCCCTTAAAGATTATTCTTCAGCCTGTTATTTGACTCATTTCCAGCTCTGACATTTTATGGTCTCATTTAGTCAGTCCTCATAACATTAGGAGGTAAATGCTATAGGTATTATTATCCCCATTTTATAGATGAGAAAACTGAGGCTGAGAGAGTTTTAGTAACTTGCCCAGGATCACACAGACTTTCAAGTGTAGCTACTTCTCTCCATATCTCCTTTGGTCCCCAAAGTACAGTCTAAAGGGTCAGTGTGTTCTCAATAGACATCACTGAAACGGATCGAATAAATGCTTGAGAAATGCCCTTCTGTTATTTTGTCTTGTTATTTACATGTGTGTCAGATCTCCCTAATAGACTGTGTGTTCTAGGAAGTGAAGATAGGAGAGAAGATTGGGTCTTACCTAAATCCTCTCTCTCTTTCTGCACCACTCCCCCTATTCATCATAGGCTCCTGAGATGTTGAGGTTTTATAAATGCTCGTTGAAGTGAATTAAATTAAGGCCGGTGCCTCTTCAGGGGAGGAAAAAATGAAAAGGGTTGTTTACTGTTATTTCATGGGTACAGCTTATTTCTACCTTTGTGTACCTAACCAAAGAGGTAAATTATCCCAAAGGAAACAATAACAGACTGCCTTCCTCCCCCTTTTTTCTAGTTCTACAGGTGATAGCCACTTTCAGGGGTTTTTTAAAATAATTTTTGTTGATACCTTTGATTTTTACATGCCTAAATTTCCCTCTGTATCCCTCTGTATCTCTATATCCAAAGAACCATCTCATATAACAAAGAATTTGTGACTACCTCTTTTCAATTCATACTAAGCAGGAGAAACTTTCAAGACCTATGGCATATATAGCAGCTGGTAAAGGGAAGAGTCCAAGAATTTCTTTCTCCCTACACTAGAGACTTGGATTCTTCTCTCAGATCCTTACAGGTCTGGCTTCCATATAGCAGAGAGATAGCAGGTGGCCTTTCACTTAGCCCTTACCTTTCTTTCTTCTCCACTCTCTCTGAAACATGAAGACATTTTTCAAGAAGCAGATTAGAGTCATGAATGCCAAAGGAATTTGATTCTTAGTAGATGAGAGCCACTGAAGACTTGAGTAGAGGAATAACAGGTCTAGACATTAAAGGCAACAGTATTAAGGATAGACCAGATTAACAAAAGAAGGATGCACTTGATGTATGAGGCTCTTATAACTATTATCTATGTGGGTGTGGCCTCTCCCTGGAGGTGACAGCGGCAATAGTAGACAGAGGATGATGTTGCAGGGGTAGAATTGACAGGATTTGGTCACAGATTAACTGTGAGACATAAGAAAGATGGAGAAGACAGACAAAAACCCAAAGTTGTAAACATGGTAGATTGGATTAATGGAGGAACAACAAACAGAAATTGTAAAGTCAGGAGAAACTCAGTAAGTCCTTACAATCCTAGTATAAACCACTGCGTTGCTGTCAACCTTCAAAAGTGATTGAAGGACCATCTACATAGAAGGCAGACATGGATAGAGCACTGTGCTTGGAATCAGGAAAACATCCTAATGAATTCAAATCTGGCCTCAGACACTTAGTTGTGTGACTTCGGGCAAGTCATTTAACCCTGTTTGCTGTCTCAGTTCCTCTTCTATAAAATAAGCTGGAGAAGGAAATGGCAAACCACTCCAGTATCTGTGCCAAGAAAAAAAGAAGAAAAAGTCACAAAGAGTTGGACACACAACTGAAAAACAAACATAAAAGGCATGCTTGCTCAGATACAACCCTAGCTTCCTTCAGCACCACAGTATTATAGACTTCAGTCTGGAAGGGGTCATCTGGAATGCCTTCATTTTACAGATGAGGAAAATAAGGTCCATAGAGGGTAAAATGACTGGTGTAAAGCCACATAAGTGGGAGAGCTGGGATCCTGGTCCTCTGATTTCAAATCCAGTGATCCATCCCCTCTGCCATTCTGCCTCCCAATCTTTTCTGACTGGACACAAGTAAGGATTCATTTTTGCTCTTTGAGATCAAGGTGATAAAAATTGCTACTTTTAATCTATAGTATAAGAATTAGCTATAGAACATCATTACTGGGCCTATATTCTCCCACGTATAAGATGAGAACTTTGGATTAGTGGGTTCCTCTCTCTCTCTCAAGAGCCTGGGATCTGATATCTGGATAGGTGGTACTTACAGTTTTTGCCTCATAAGGGTAGCCATATTTTTGTTCACAATTCTGAAATTAAGTGTTTAGAGGATGACACTTAAATTCTGTATTGATTACCTCTGTATTTATACCTTAGATCTGTCCACTTCTCGGGGATGGGGATTCCTTAACTTCCTTAAGTTGACACACACTACCCCCTTGATGGGAACACGGCTATACTGGGAATCAGTGGTGTGTTACAGGGAAAGAAGATTTGGGATCAAACAACCTAGGTTTGAATCCTAACTCTAGTGTTTTCCATCTATGGGGACACCACTTGGACAAGTCACTTGCCTGGATCTATAAAATGAGGAGTTGGACTACATGGCTCTTTAAGGATCTTTTGAGTCAGAAGCTCTGGGTTCTAGTCTCAATTCTACCACTTTAACTGCATGACCTTAAACAATTCCCTTTACCTGGGTGAGCCTCAGGTTTATAGATTGCTAGGGATGAAACAGATCTTAGAGGTGATCTCATCCAACCGCTTTATTTTACAAATGAGGAAACAGAGGCCCCTCTATAAATGAGAGGGATGGACTAAATGAGGGCAGCTAGGTGGCCCAGTGGATAGAGCACTGACCCTGGAGTCAGGAGGACCTGAATTCAAATCCAGCCTTAGACACTAGCAGTGTGACCCAGGGCAAGTCACTTAGCTCTATTTGCCTCAGTTTCCTCATCTGTAAAATGAGCTGGAGACAGAAATGGCAAATTACTTCAGTATCTTTGCCAAGAAAACCCCAAAAGGGGTCATGAGTTGGATATGACTGAAAAGACTCAATAACAACAAAGACAAGTGATCTCTGAGGTGTCTTCCAGATGTAAGGATTCTAAGCCAGATATTAATTAGTTCCCTTTTTGCTCCTGAACTTACTTTCTCAAACTTGAAGGAAGGTCCCCTGGTCCTAGACTTTGGGGTTTGGTGTTCCCACTCCACTCCAATCCCCACCAAGTTCAGAGCTATTAGGACTTCCCAGAGAGAAAAGGGGTGGAAGCCAGGGGGTTGGGGGAGGGGAGGAGGCTGAGGTAAAGGGTATTGAAGGGCTGTTCCTAAGGTGACTCCTGTCTTCTTTTCCCACGGTCCCCACCTCTTGACTTCTCAGTACCCAAGAAGCAAGAAGACTCCTGCTTCCTCCAGACTGGTGCCAGGAAGAAAAACCTCACCGAACTTGACACTCCCTTGTTGACACAGAAAAAGGGAGAGGTTTAGGTGGAAATCACGTGTTTTCTTCTTCCACTTGGCATTGATAGATTCAGACTGGGGATGGGGAAGATGGAGGAAGGATAGAGCATTGTACACCTTTCATTCTACAATCACCCTTATCAAAAAAGTAAAAGTAAAAGCAGTTGATGGGGAACAACCAGACCAGCCTTGATAGAAAAACAAAATGTCATTAAGAGCAAACAGGGGCAAAGAGCTAATAGTAATAGGAAGTTGGATGACTCATTTTCCTTTGTTAAAATAAGGGCAGATGCTTAGGATGATGTCTAGGTCATTCTAGCTCTGAGATTCTGTCGCCAGCAATCAGATAGTGCACCAAATGGGAAGGCACGAAATAAATGTGAGACGTGGGCCAGGTGAAGCAGTAAAGACTAACTCAGTTTATTCATCTGAGGGTACAGGATATATAGAGAAAATCTAGCCTAACTTCAAAGAGTCCTCCCCATGAGATATTCCCCAAAACATCTGATGAAGATGTGACAACATACATTTCCTCATTATCAGGGTTCCTAGATTGGGTTGTATTTTCCAAGGTTTTCCCAGGTGCCTTGGCACCACCTGCATAGAGGAGTAGCATGTAAATCTAAGGTTCACAGAGTGAGAAGGAATGTCTCAGAAAACCTCCCTTGCAGGGGGAGATTTGGAGAGCCCTGCTTCCTAAATTATTGAGCCCTGTGGGTTAAGACTGGGCAAGAGTCAAACTCTGTCCTGGATCTTGAACCCAGATCGGACTCTTTAGAGCCGGCCCTCAACAAGATTCTATGTCCTATGTTCTAAGGTCCTTTTCAACTCTGACACTCTGTGTTCTACATTCTAAGGTCCCTTTTTTCTCAATATCCTTGGCCTAGGGTCTCTTCTAAATCTGATATTCAGCTCTGACATTCTGTGTTCCGTGTGTAACGGCAGCCATCCCATGGAGCATTTGCTGAGCCCCTTGGCCACTTACAGGGAGGGGACTGAAGGACTTGAGTTTCGGCATGATGAAACCCTTATTGGCCTCGGTCCAGTCATATCAACGGGACTGTGGGCCTTTGTCTTGTTTTCCTGCCAGCAAAGAAATTGCTGTTCTACTTCAAACATGATACCATTCTAAAGTCAGGGCAAGAAAAGTACATGACTTTCCAGAGGGGAGGGTCATGGAGAGGTGGCGAAATAGAACAGGACTCACAGAGGGAAGGAACTAGTTTCTCAATCTATTAAAAAGTAGGCATTCTTCCTTCTCTGGACTGCTTCATGGAAGGTAGGATATTTGAGCTGAACTTTGAAGGCATGGAAGGGGAGAGGGGTCCGGAAGACACTGGAGAAAGAATAATTGGGACTTCAAGATTCCTGAAATTGGTGGGGTCAAAAGCCCAGGTGAGAGACTGTAGCTTTGGTGAGGAGGGACAAGTTCCTGCCCATGGGGATTTATAATCTGGATTCTAAGCCCCCATTTAGCTTTGGCATTCTATACTCTATGTTCTAAGCTCCCTACTAGATCTACTATTTTTTATTTTAAGGTCAGTTTCAACTCATCTTTATACTGGTGGGGCAAATCTTCAACATCTCAGTGTGAGTGAGCTTCTCAGTTACATTACTTGGCAATGAAGGCTATGGAGCACTTGGCCGGTAGATTTGTAGATATAATAACTAGAATCTCACAGCATAAAAAGCCATGGGTGGGTTCTAGTCTGCAACAGTTGATATTAATACTCACATTCTTGAGCTCATATTGAAGTAAGATATAATAGAATTGATTCCAATTATAAATTGATTGATTTCTTAAATTATGATTTGAATTTTTATATTTCTCCTCTAATTTTTGACATTTCCTCTTTAAAAAGAACATTCAGCTTAGGATCAGAGCATGATGTTAAGGACCATGGGATCATAGATTTACAGCTGAAAAGGACCTTAGAAGTCCAATGGCTTCATTTTACATACGAGAAAACTGAGACAAAGAGGAGTTAAGTGTCTTGCTCAGGGATGGCTTCAGAGAAACCTGACAAGACTTATATGAACTGAGGCAAAGTGAAGTGAGCAGAACCAGGAAAACAACTTATACAATGACTACTATTATAAAGACAAACAATTTGAAAGACTTAGGAACTCTGGTTGATACAATGATCAACCATAGTTCCAGAGGACTCATGATGAAACATGCTGCTCACCTCCAGATAGAGAGGTAATGGACTCAGAGTGCAGGTTGCAGTGTGTACACACATATACACACACACACACACACACACACATACACACACACATACACACACACATACATGTGAACTATACATGGGTTTTATATAATGGGTTTTGTTAATCTTACTTTCTCAGTGACAGTGAAGGAGGTGAGAGGAAGAAAATTTGAAGTTGAAAATAAAATTAAATCAAATTAAGACAAAAAATTTCCTACCCAGGGTCATCATCCAGTAAACATTAAAGGCAGGATTTGAATTTTGGTCTTCCAGACTCCAAGTCCAGCATTCTTCCCACTACATGGTTTAGGATCCCACCTCTGCCACTTACTTCCTGTATGGCCTAGGGGAAGTAATTTAGCCTTTGTGGGCCTCAGTTTCCTCATCTGTAAAATGAAGGTGTTGTATTAGATGATCTTTGCAATCTCTTCCAGCCCAGAAATCCTGTGATTCTGATTTACCCCATCTCTCCCTAGAATACAACTCACAAAACACAAGCAAGGACCATAACTATTTTCATAAGCTTTTTACTTCAATCTCTGCAAGGAGTTTACAGTCTAGTGGGGGAGCAGGTGGGGTTGGGGGAGGGGAAGAAGGTGAGGAATAAGACAAAAACACAGACAACTCTAGTATGAGTTATAATATAATAAATACATTAGATCAGTCAAGAGAGACACAAGAGATTCAAGAAGGAATCTTTTTGCTAGGAAGCTCAAAGGTCTTATGAAGGAATTGAGAGTAAAACTAAGTCTTAAAAAGGGGGTGGATTTCAAAAGGTAGATGTGAGGGGAATGGGGAAACCATTCCAAGGATGAGGAATAAGCATTGCAAAGGCACGGAGATGGGAGTGCAAACATCATTATCTCTATAGTCATAGCTGAAGAAACTGAAGATTTAGAGAGGCAACCTAATTTTCTCAGTCACATAGCTAGTAAGCATTGGAGCCAAGGTTCAGATTCAGGTCCCTGACTCCAGCACCAGCTTTTGACAATTCGGTAGGTTGCCTCTTAGAAGTAGTCTATTTGAGGGAGCTATGGAAGAGAAGGCCAGGAAGAAGGTAGGCTGGGACCTGTAGGATATGACCAAATACACATGGAAGGAGTAGCATGGATATCCCATCTAGCCCTATTAGCCTCTAGCATAGAATCAGAGGACCTGGATTTGAATCCTAGCTCTGATCTCTAAGATTCTTTTCAGATCTAAATCCAAATTTCACAGAAGAAATCCCCTTAATTAAAGGATTTGTTCTGTAAAACTTGGACTCAGTCAAAGGGCTGAACTTGAGGACCTAGAGGGCCACAAGTTCCTCACCCCACAAGTATAAACCTATGAAAGGAGACCTCTCCCTTCCTAATAATTCTATTATTATTATTATTTTTTTTTGGTGAGGCAATTGGGGTGAAATGACTTGCCCTTAGTCACACAGGTAGGGAGTGTTATGTGTCTGAGGGCGGATTAGAACTCAGGTTCTCTTGACTACAGGGCTGGTACTCTGTACACTGCTGCCCCTTATTAGTTATTTTCAGGTTGCAGTCAAGATCCCAGTGCTGGCCCTCTTCCAAAAGCATTGGACAGTTACTCTAATTTCCCTTTCTGGCCATCATGAAGGGCCTAATCTGTCCTAGAGGGACCTTATAATAGAGAGTTCTCTCTTCAGTCATAGGATCCCTAGGAACCTCTCAGAAGGTACTGAGATTTGGACCCTGTGACCAGAAAGTTCCCAGTCAAACCCCACTCTCACCCTTAGAGAAAGAAAATCTCTCCCATTCAGGTTCTTAAAATGCTTAAAATAAATTGGCCATTGGAGATGTGCTTCTCTGGGTTAATCTTGTCTTCTTTTAAAATGCAAATCTTGGCCTGAGGTGAGAGGAGGGGTGAGGTGGCAGTCCTGAAAACACATAAAGCCATTATTAAGTAATTCACACTCATGCATTCATTATTCAACCATCTGTTCCAGGGCTTAGTCAGGTAAGGAAATGTTTTTGTAGAGGATGGAAGGAATCATTTTATACTATAAGGCAAGCATTCTTACCCGGAGGTCTGTGAATTAAAAAAATTTTTTTTAAATAATTCTTTCAATATAATTGGTTTCCTAGGACAGCTAGGTGGTGCAGTGGATAGAGCTCCAGCCTTGGAGTCAAGACGACATGAGTTCAAAGGTGGCCTCAGACATTTTACACTTTCTCTCTCTCTCTATGTATGTATGTATATAATTGGCTTCCTTTGTAATCCTATATATTTTATTCTATACATTTAAAACTATTATTCTTACATGAGGTCCATCACACACACACACACACACACACAAATTAAAAAGCCTTGCCATAGGGCATCAGAGGAGAAAGCAAGACTGGACGTGGAGGGGAGAGGGCAGTGATCATAAGGATGCTGGATCTCCAGGTTAGGGGATGACAAAAGAGGAAGTGGAGTTTAAAAAAAAAAGAGTAGTGGGAAATGACAGATATATTTGGCAGACTTTAAAATTGAAATCAGACTAGTTGGGTGGGTACTGCAGACCTTAGCCTTATTTCTTCTGGGCATGGCCCAACACTGTACACAGTAACTATATTGATATTGATCTCTCATTAAGGATGGAGATCAAGGAGAAGGCATCTAGGAACAACATCTGGAAAGTGAGGACCTCAGTGCTTCCACAGCAGGGCTGGACCTCTCCTCAGTGGTTCTTTTTGAGAGCCGTGATGGCATGCTTCACCCAGCCCTTCCGAGGGTCTGCACAGATCTTACGATTTTTCATTGTTAGCAGGCTAGAAAGAATAATTAAAGAAATATTGTCATCAGTGAGTGAGATCCCAGCTTGTCCAGAGTTCAGCATTTATTAAGTCCCTGTTGTGTGCAGATTACCCTGCTATCACTTAGAAGGGCAATGCATACAAAGTGGAATGGAGGGGACAGAGGGAGGGACGAGTTTGTTTTTAAAGTACTTATTATTTGAGAAATAAAGATAATTAACTATCAAAAAAAAGGAAAAACAAAACAAAAACAGTAGCTCTGTAGCTCACTTCTCCTTTTCTCACCCTCAGTCTCCCCATCTGAAAAATGAGGGGATTGGATGAGATGGCCTTTAAAGACCCTTCCAGTTCTAACATTTGAAGTTCTAAGGTCTTTTTTTTCATTCTGACAATCTGCATTCTATGCTCTATCATGCATACTCTGAGCAGGAGTCAGTCAGTCAACAAACATTTATTAAGTGCCTACTAGCATCAGGCACTATGTCCTAAGATCTAGGGACACCTAGAAAGGTGAAAGATAGCTCCCTGATCTCAGGAAGCTCATGGTCTAATGAGGAAGATGACATGCAGGTGACTATGCACAGATAGTACAAACCATGCTCAAGTGCACACATGACTACAGCACCTGGGGGGGTACAAAGCTTTTTTCTTACAAAAACTCTATGAGATAGGTAGCACAAGTACTACTATTCCCACTTTACAGATGAAGAAACTAAGGCTCAGAGAGAATTAGTAGCTTATGTGCCCAAAGTCACATAGCTACTAAATGGCAGAGCCAAAGTTCAAATACAGTTCTCCTTTCCTCAAATTCAACTATTTCTCTCTCTCTCTCTCTCTCTCTCTCTCCTCTCTCTCTCTCTCTCTCTCTCTCTCTCTCTCCGCTGCATCATTCCACTTCTCAAATAATTTTCAGCTCTTATGAACTTAATTCTGTTTTCAGGTCTTCATTCTCTTCTCCTCCATTGAGAAAGCAAGAAAAACAAAACCCTTATTACAAACACACATAGTCAAGCAAGATAAATTTCTGCTCAATCTTAGGTTCTTGATTCTAAGGTTTCTTCTATGTTTCGTATCTTAAATACCTAGCTGAGTCGCTTTTATTTTCTTACTTACAATGTAATACATACATTATTTCTTATAGCACAATAGTATTCCATTACATTCATATACCATGCCTTGTTCAGCCATTCCCCAATTGATGGGCATCCCCTCAATTTCCAGTTGAACATTTTAAAGTAAAAATAAGTTGATGACTCTATGACCTGAGGAGATAAGAGGATTTGATCACTGAGGCAAGACAGAGTTGGTGAGAAATTCCAAGAATCCCTGCCTCCCTCCCAGAATAAATTTATTCTGAAAGTACGTATCTGTTTTAAAAAGACACAGGCTTATTGGTAATGCCCTTAATTTTATGGGCTAAGGTTGCTTTCAGTTCTGATTTTTCTGCTCCATGTTCTAAGGCCCCTTCTAGTTCTGACATTCCGATTTCCAAAAACAGAAGCCGTAGGGCATGACCTGAAGGAATATATAACACAGGCTGGCATGACAAATATAAGAGGCCTGAGATAAGCCTCGAAGGATCTGTCCCACCTGTAAAAGGACACAGAAGTAAAAACTGAGGAGTGGACATCAGATAAAGGAGCCATCAAGAGCAGTCAGGGCTAACCTGGGAGGGCTTTCTGGAGGAGGTCACTCCAAAGCCTGACAATATGCACTTTCAGAATGGAGCGAGGCAGGGATTCCTGGAATTTGTTACCAACTCTGTCTTGCCTCAGTAACCAAGCCCTCTTATCTCTTCAGGTCATAGAGTCATTAACTTCTTTTTACTTTAAAATGCTCAACTGGAAATTGAGGTACTGCCCATCAATTGGGGAATAGCTGAACAAGTCATGGTATATGAATGTAATGGAATACTATTGTGCTATAAGAAGTAATGAGCAGGCGGACTTACATGAACCAATGCTGAGTTAAGTGCGCAGAACCAGGACAACATTGTACACAGTAACAGCAACATTGTACAATAATTCACTCTTACAGACTTAGCCCTTCTCAGTAACACAATGATCTAAGACAATTCCAAAAGACCCATGATGGAAAATGCTATCAACATCCAGAGAAAGAACTATGGAGTCTGAATGCAGATCAAAGTATACTATTTCCACTTTTTTTTTGTCGTTGTTGTTTTTTTGGGGTTTTTTTCCATGGTTTTTCCCTTTTGTTCTGTTTCTTCTTTCACAACATGACTAAACTGGAGACATGTTTGACATGATTGCATGTATATAACCTATATCAGATTGCTTGCCTTCTTGAGGAGGCATGAGGGGAGGGAGGGAGAAAAATTTGGAACTCAAAATCTTATAAAAATGAATGTTGAAAACTATCTTTACATGTAATTGGAAAAATGAAATATTATTTAAAAACATTTTTTGAGTCCAAATTCTCACTCTACCTCCCTTTCCCCTCTCATTGAGAAGGCAAGAAATTTCATATAGGTTATACATATGCAGTTATACAAAACATATTTCCATTGTTAGGAATGTGTCACACCCTATTTATCTGTGTGCCTGTCATAACCCACCCATTGCAATCGATTGTCAGTCAATAAACATTTATTGAGTGCTTATTATGTGTCAGGCACTGTGCTAAGTGCCGGAATATAAATACAAATAAATCAGACTGTACTGTGCCCTCGCTAGGTAGTGAGGAAGGCCACACACAAAAGATATAGAAGCTCCCTAGGACAAGAACTGGGTTGCTTTTCATCTTTATATTCCTCCTTCCTTCTCCCCAACCCCATTATACCCAGCTTAATGCCCCACACATAAAAAGTGCTTCAAAATGCTTATAAAACTGCATTGATATGCCACCTCTTCCTCATTGCTAAAGCTCCAGAGCCTGTGTCCCAACCGAGCTAAGTATGCCCAAGAGGTAGTCTTCATTAATGACTAGAAATCACTTGTGCTGTTAGCGGCTGTGGGCTTGGAGGCAGGGAGGCACTGGAAAGAGAGAATTCAAGCCAGGCAAGGCTGGGGCTGGGCTCTCTTGTGCGATTCAGGCTTCAGGGGTCAATGAGTACAGAACTAAATATTTCTCTACCAGTCATGATTTGAGAGGCCCCAGGAAAGTCCTCCATCCTTGCATGGGATCTTAGATTTAGGGCTGGATCCTAGGATCCTAGATCTTAGAGCTGGAAGGGATCTCAAAGAATACCTAATCCAAATCTAGCTTTTCATCTATTAGGAAACAAGGTCCAGGAAATCTTGCTCACAGTCACATAAATAGTAAGCGTCAGGGGCAGGATTCAAATCCTGGTCCTCTGGCTCCAAACCCAGGGCTCTCTCTCCACTATATCCTGCTGCTTCTCCATTAAAATTTTGTTCCTTTGTATCAAAACATTTCTGCCTTTTTAAACCAGCAAATTTCGTTAGAAGGAGATCCCATTGTTTTCGTTATCAAATCAAGCTCTTTTCATTCCATGACACCTCTGCGTAAATCTGATTTTTTCCTGAGAACAGGTTTGAATATGGGGATGAAGACATGAAGCACTAGCCTAGCTAAGTAATTCCTGCGGTTAGCCATTCCAGGCATCCATGGAGAAGCTGATATTGGAGAGCAGGATAGAAGAGCAGTGGGGAGACTTGAGTACTAGTCTCTTCCTGAAAACCAGCTGTGTCACCTTGAGTGAATCAATTCTCCCTCTCCCCCTCAGTTTCTTCATCTGAAAATGGGAACACTCAGGGCGAGGTGATGCTGCATTTCTACCCCTACTCTCTCAGGGGGTATTCCACGCCCAGCCAAGAGAGAAATATCTTGTCCACTTGCCAGCCTACAGAAGGGTCCCACAGCCTGTGGCCAAGGTCAGCTCTGACATGTGCTTCTCGTGACCCTCATCTGCCTCCTTGGCTTCCCCAGAGAAGAAGTACTCACATCACTCCATGTTTCCGGCAGGTGGCAGAAGTGAAGTGGAAACGGGTCAGAAACTTCAAAGGCAGGGGGAACGGAACGAAGTCATTGCAGCAAATGCTGCTTTCCATGTTTACACCATAGGGGCCTGCCAGGAAAATAATCAGAGCAATTTGTGATCAATAATCAAATCAATTTCTATGGTGTTTTCTGGTTTTCAAAGTGCTTTCCTCCTGGTGACCTTGTGAGCAGATGTTATTAATCCCTTTTTGCAGATGAGGAGACTGAGTTCTAAAGAGGTGAAATGACTTAAACTAGTAAGTGGTACAAACCAGGATTTGAACCCAAGACTTCTGACTCTTAAGTCAGTGAGTTTCCAGGATGTCATTGCAGAAAAAGCAAAGAAACCATGTCAGACAGGCCTGGACAATCAGCAATGACCCTAGACCCTAAAGCAGAAAGAAATTAGGTGGACCTGAACAAAACTCTAGAGAAGTTAATTTAAATTTTTTTTTTTAGTTAATTTGACTGGCATTTATCTGGTGCTTTGCCTATATTACTTCCTTTAAGTCCCATAACAGCCCTGTGAGGTGGGTACTACAGTTCAATTAAATTCAACAAACATTTATTATATACCTATTGAGTGAAAGGCCCTAGAGATACAAATAGATATTATTATCCCTGATTTACAGATAAGAAAACCAAGGCCCAGAGAGGTAAAGTTATTTGTCCAGGGTTACACAGCTAGTAAGTGTGAAAGGTAGCCATAGGATAGGAAGCCATATCTTCTTGGGAATAAGTCCAGCATTGTAGTCATGAGGCCACATTCCCTCTTCACATCAAGGCTTGATTCTCCTCTTCCTCCTCCTCCTCCTCCTCCTCCTCCTCCTCCTCCTTCTCCTCCTCCTCCTCTTTCTCTCCTCTTTCTTTTGAAGGTGGTAAAGTTCCTTAAGGGACTGTGTATTATCACCATGATCATCATCATTGGGATTTACTTCAATTCAACCATGGTTAACTGGGTGCCTACTCTGCTTGCTGTGCTCAAGCACTGGAGATTCAAAGATGAAAAAGAAATTACCAGTTCCCAAAAGAGAGGTCACTATTTCTCAAATTAAGGAAATTCTCTGTGATCATTCCACAATGCTTTTCCATTTTTAGAGTTTTTTTTTTTTGGATTGCACTAGGCAGTCCTCAAATGGTCTATGGTCTGGTAGGAAGGGTCAGAAGATTATAGATACAAAGCAGGACATGCTGAGAGCTGAGGAGAGGTGTGCACATGGTCCAATGGGGCTCAGAGGAGGAAGAGATTCCCCTTGGGTGGAAGACATCCAGAAAAGCTTCATGGAGGAAAGAGTACTTAAACTGAAAGACAAATTGGATCTCATTCTCAGGGACGACATTCTCAGGAGAAGACACAAGTAAAGGTAAGACTCAGTCGATGGCTCTATTGTTCTATGACACCACAAATTTGGGAAGGTTGGGAGATTTAAAAAAGAAAGGTATCCTATTTGAGAGGAAGAAGAACTGGTCTATAGCTAAGGATACACACCATTCAGGCTTCCTCAATGACTCCTCATGAACACAAATCATATGCTCCTAAAAGATTCCAGCTGAAAGGCCCTTCACATTTCTCCAGCTCAGCTCCTTCATGAAGTTCAGAGAGCAGAAGGGACTTGACCCAAAGGGAGAGGCCTAGCAGGAGTAGAACCAGGACCAGAACCCAGGTCCCCTAACTTCCAGTCCACTGTCCTTACTGCCCTGTAGTAAAAGCATTTCTCCTATTTCTAACCTTTTCCAGGAGCAACCAAAGGAAGATGGGGGATCTTTGTTCAAGGAATTTGAAGGCCAAGAACCCTGTTCCCCACCTCATCCCAGATGCCTGCTTACCTGCTTGAGTGAATGGAAGAGAACTGCCCAAGATCAGGGCCACCAGCAGGGCTGCCTGGAAGTAGAGCATGGTTCTCTGGTGTCTATGCTCTCACCCCGAGCCAGTGATCTCGATCAAGGAATGAAGAAGGTCTGGCTGGTATTTAATCTCCTCTAGCCTGGCCACTACACCCACAGCTCACTTTGAAATTCTTAGTCATCGATGAGGCCAAAATATTTCTGACATACAAATCACGAAAGGGGAACTCACCACTTCCTCCCAAATTAAGGAAATTCTCTGTGGCCAGGTAACCATCCCATAGGGACCTTTCTATTTTGATGGGGGGGTTTTCTTTGCCTTTGTAACCCAGTACCTTGCAAGAAATAAGCATCGAATAAATGCTTGTTGAATGAATGAGTTGATGAATGAATGAATGAATGAATGGTGGGAGATATCATTAGAGGTGGTTCTTACTTTATACAGCCATCCCATTCCTGAAAGTCCTGTGTAAAGTGAATTCTACTTTCCCATTGACATCAATTATCTCATCTGAGAAATTTGATTGATTTCTGGTTCATCTCTGAATGGGGTTAACTCCTCATGTTATAGATGGGCTTTTTTTTCTTGTCTATCAAATAGTTACTAATGTGTGAACTAATCTAAACCAAATATAGAAGGAAAGCTTCATAAGTAAAGGCAATCTGTGGTGAATCATTCTGTAATAAATAGCCACTCCCATAATTTATCCATTGTTTTTGTATTCTATATATATTACATATTTAGAGCATATCTTTGTTTGATCTTTATCAGGGAAGAGCTTGCTTTGGCCGATTCATACCTTTCACAGGTGTGAACACTTAATTCCTTCTCAGCAACCAATTAAATTAAATTTTGTCTAGGGGCAGCTAGGTGGCTCCATGGATAGGATCAGTCCTGGAGTCAGGAGGAGCTGAGTTCAAATCTGGCCTCTGGCACATACTAGCTGTGTGACTTTGCTCTATGGTAAATGGAGACACCACAAATTTGGGAAGGTTGGGAGACTTAAAAAAGAAAAGTATCCCATTTGAAAGGAAAAAGGACTGGTCTATAGCTTAAAGGTACACACCACTGAGGCCTTTTCAATGGCTCCTCATGAAAACAAGTCACTTGACCCTTTTTTTCCTCAGTTTCTTCATCTGTAAAATGAGCTGGAGAAGAAAATGGCAAGCCACTCCAATATCTGCTAAGAAAACCCCAAATGGGGTCACAAAGAGTCAGACATGACTGAAAATGACTGAACAACACAAAAACCAATTAAAAGGCTTTTCTTTCCCTCAAATATGTAGGCAGGGAACAGTCACAGAATGCGCATGTTCTGAATGCCCCTCTACTACACATCATCTCACATTTCTAGAAGCAGGTTCACCAAGCCCCCCATGTGGGTTGGCAGTAGGCAAAGCACACTGTGCATACTCTGAGGATCAGGCCTCCGTTGGCCATTACAGATACACTGGATTTTCATAAATGTGATTCCTGAAACAAGAGCATGGTATAGTGGGAGAAACCCTAATAACCTACTAACTTAGGAGCCAAGGGACCTTGGGTCTAGTCTCAACTCTCTTACTAATTTTCTGTTGCCTAGGCAAGTCGCTTCCTTTCTGGGTGTTTATTTCTTCCTCTATAAAATGAGGGAGTTGATCCCTTTCAGATCTGACAGTTTACATGAATGTTCGTGGGGTCTCTTTCAGCTCTGACAGTCAGGGTCCTCAGGTCTCTTCTAGATCTTTTAATCTATATTCTGAGGTCTTTCCCAGCACTGACAGTCAGAGTTCTTAAGGTCCCTTTCAGCTCTGACACACAACAACTCTAGGAAAATCCAAAGTTGTTCTTATATGTGTGCTAAAAATAAATAAAAAGTCAAGCAATCAATCAATAAAAGAAAGTACATGTGTTGATCCTCTTTGAGGATTATTCTTAAGTCTGGAACTTCCTTCCTCTCTACCATTCAGCTGCCTGATGTGGCCTCCTAACTTTCTCCTCATAAATCTTCTCCTAGGTTTTCTCCCCCATCTTTTTCTCCGTTGTTTACTTTATTTTCTGAAATCTTAGTATTCTTCTTCCTCTTCCTCTTCTTCTCCCCCTCTTCAGCCTGTCATGCTTCCTGTAGGTTAGGGAACTAGATGTTTTCCCACCTATTTTATATTATAGTACAGTCTTAATTCCCAGTACGATATTGTAAATTCTCTAAGGGTCAGGGTCATTGTCCTATTTACTTTTGAATCTCCTACAAGACTGAGGCAGCAGGGCAAAGCAGAGAAAGGATGATGATGATGATGATGAAGGCTTTATTAAGTGCTCACTACATGTCAAATGAGGCAGTTAGGTGGCTCAGTGGGTAGAGCATTGGGCTTGGAATCAGGAAGAGTTATCCTCATGAACTCAAATCTGTCCTCAGAGATTTCCTAAATGTGTGACTCTGCGCAAGTCACTTAATCCTGTTTGCCTCTGTTTCCTCATCTGTAAAATGAGCTGGAGAAGGAAATGTCAAATCACTCTACTATCTTTGCCAAGAAAACCCCAAATGGGGTCACAAAGAGTGGGACATGACTGAAAGGACTCAACGACTCCAATGTGCCAGGCACTATGCTAAACACTGGAAATACAAGTATGCAAGACAGTTCCTGCCCTCAAAGAGCTTACATTCTAATAGTGGGAAAGTCAACATAAAGGGGAATAGAAATGGGCAGGGAGAGGGGGAAGTATACCAGTCTGGGCAAGATAAAGGAAAAACTCACTTATTAGAGTCCAGGGACCCAAGGACAGAGTCCTAGGTTCAAGTCTAGCATCTAACACTTACTCCTTACTGACTCATGACCCAGGCAAATTATTTAAGCTCCCAGGGCCCCTAAACAATTCTCTAAGATGCTAAGTTGCAGAATAGTTATGATCTGCATCGGGCGAGGGACTTTCCTTATATACAGTTCCCCAGAACTGTATATAACTGAAATAACAGATCCAGTAACAACAGACAAAACCCAACTAAGACTAAGCATTGACCTATGTAAACTTAATAAACGTTTGCTGAATGAATTCCTCCATTGATTAGCCATATATTTAGACTTACCAGTGGAGAAGACGCACTTACTTTCCTAGCAGTTTTTCTCCAAGAGGGCAAGTGTTTCTTATTTAAATTTTGTATCTTCTCCACTCCCTGGCACAATATTTTGTGTGCATTAGCCTTTGATAAATATTTACCGAATTGAACTGAATCAACGTGGTGTCCAATAAGGAGGGAGCTCAAGATCAGAGGGGTTAGGGAGCCAGCAGAAGACTTCAGCTGATCTTACTACTCCTCTTCTCTCTCTCCCATCTCCCTCCCCTCAATATACACACACACTGGGATTTTCCCAGACTTAGGAGCAGTTTTTATGAAATCACAGTTAAGAACATCAGAATAGTACCACTGAATGATCATATCATATAATCAGAAATAGACTCAAAACCAGTCTTTCAAGGAAAATTAAGGGGAAGTACTCTTTTCAGGGACCTAACTTTTCAAGCCACAACAAGAATTAGGGGAAAACCAGGATGAAAAGGTAACCTGAGAGTTTTTCCCCTCTTCTGCCTACCCAGTGCGCATTACTCTGGCTAATACCATATCTGTTTGGTAACACATCTGGAAGGTCCCTGTGATCAAATCCTGTTTGCTTCCATCCTCTTTCTATGTCATTTGGTTTCCATTGGGATGAAAAAGAAAAAAAAACCACCACAACAATGTGCAATCCACAACTCCTCTGTCCTTCTCTTTGGTTCTTTTGTCTTATAGACCAGGAAAATCCAAGAAAGGTTAGAGGGTTGGAATTGAGTGGTAGCAAAATCACCATGACATCCTGAGGTTACTAGCAGGAGCCCCTTGAAAAGATGGGAGAATTCTCTAGAAAGAAAGAGCATTACACCAAATAAGGCAGCTTGGAACGAGTCAATCTCTTCTCTTCTGGGTAGACCATAGTACTTGCCTTAAAAAACTTTCAGAGTTGGGAGAGTCAAGTAGCATCCCTCAGGAATCATTTCCTCTATGCCTTGGCTTCAGAGCATGCACACAAAAATATTCCATCTTTCTTGAGACTATCTACTCCCTGGAGTTTCAGGTAGCTTCAGAGAATGTTGGTTTCATTTATTAGCTGGGACGAGAGTATACTGAAAGGGAGTGGGAAGGGGGGGGGGACACATGAGCTAGATATGTTACATTTAATTGCAAGGATATATTCATCAGTAAGAATTATCCAGGGGAGTCCAGTCTTCCAGTCTCTTATTGTTAGCTTCACCCTCCCCACCCCCACCTTTGTCTCCTCCATTTGACTGATCTTCCGACAGGAGACCTTCATAAGCCTTCCTCATGAGTCAGCCATTGGCACTCTTTATAGGACAATAAAAGCAAGAATCTGTGCAGCCTCATCTGGCGGCAATAGTGATTCATTTTCCTAAAGCTCCCACCCCCAACCTTGTATTCTGGAATAATGGTTCTGGCACACAGCAGACACAATATAAAATTAAAATATGGGAATTTTAAAGGGAAATTTTATTGGTCCAAAGTTGGAAGCAGGTTTTTCCCCCCCAGAACCTCCTAGAAACAGGATGTTTCCATGAAAAATGGATTTTCAAGTTGTGCAGGAAACTAGACAATGAAGTGAGATTAGTGGGGATCTTAGAAGGGGGGGTGGGGAGATCTCAAATTTCCCAATAGGCCCCTGGGAAAGTCCAGCTTCAGCTCAGGGCTTCATACAGGAGGGCTCCCCCAGGACTGGTAGGGCGAACTATCTTCATGTTTGTCTGTGCCTGCATCCATGTGTGACAGGGATAGCTCAGTGCTCAGGGAGAGATGGGAGCTGAGAGTCAGGTATGGATGCAAAAAGAACCAGCAAGCTGGTAGATTTTCAGTCCCCAGCTTTGGAAAAGCAAAGTTTAAAAAAAAATGAGCAAACAGTCAAAATGATAGTGGGGCAGGGCAGCTATCTTGCATTAGGCCCAGTTTCAGGTAGGGAAAATCTGATCTGAAATACAGCCTAAGTCCCTGAATCTCAGAGAATTTTCTTCTCTCCCTACCCTTCCCATTCCCAGTACCCCGCCTTCCCCACTGACTGAATAAGGTAAAAAGAGCTATACCCAGGGCCACCTAAGTCTTAGTGCTAGAGCAGCCACTTAGCTGCTGTATGACTTTACCATACCTGCCTGAGCCTCGGTTCCTCATCTATAATGAGGTAATGAGTAGAGTTCTGCACTCCTTCCCTCACTGGGTTTTTGTGGGGAAATGGCTTTTTAAATCCTCGGTGTGAGCTAGAACAGGGCAAGTCCATAATGGAGATGTGGTCCCTGGCTTTTCCCAGAAGCATTTTAAGAGGCAGTGCGAAAGAAGATATTTTATAATCATACCTTTTTATAAGCTTAGCTGTGTACACAACAATGGAATTTGAAACCACGTGTACAGATATGAAGGACAGGCCTACGGTATGACAGATTTCAAAGAGCTAAAGTATATATACAGACAGACTCTACTTATCCTTAAGATACAGAGATAGATGCATACATTTCTAACCTTAAACAGCAGCTTCTGAGCTCATGGTTCTGGGGTGGGGGTAGGGGACTGGGGGTGAGGTGGGGTACAGAAATGTACCACTCCCTTGTTCTATACCT